CTCTAGCACCTGCCACCAGATTAACCCGAGTTCAAATATATACAGTCTGCAAATTCTACATCGTTTCCACTTTTGTTGCATACAGAATTAGCTCCATAACCTCAGAAAGAAGGAGAAAATGCAAGCTCACCCATCTTTTTTTTTTTTTTTTTTTTTTGGTTAAATCCTGTTTTACAGACTGTCCAAACAGATGATTTTAACCCCTTGGCTTCAGGAGAGATTAAGGTTTTAAGAATCAGTTCCCATGAGCAGGCTGAGAGATGTTATAATTGCCTCAGTATTGTAAACTGAACCCGGAATACAGTGACCAACTTCGGGCTGCAGAGAAATAGGACAGGAACCATCAAAATGTAAGAGGGTCAGAGGAGCATGAATTGTTGAGGAAAGTGGGTTTGTTTGTTCTGGTGAAGATGAGGGTAAGACCAGTCTGTGCATACTTGAGGAACAGTTACAAAGGTGATGCAGCCAAACTTTTTAGTAATGCCCGATGATGCACGAAGAGGCAGCGGTCGCAGAGAGCAGACTGGGCGCTTCAGGATGGATATTAGGAAAACATTGTTCTCTAGCACTGCACTACAGTGCTGGAACAAGTCACCCAAAGAGGTTGTGCAAGCTCCCTCTTTGGAGGTTTTCTAGACTCAGATCAACAAGGCCACAACTGAGCTGATCCTGTGCTGACGAGGGCCTGGCCTGAGTGGGAAGCCAGACTAGACATGTCCCAGAGGTCCTTGCTGAGCAGCACTTCTTTGATTCTATTTGGCTAAAACCTACCTATTTCAAATTACATTTCTTTCTGTACACCACATTTAAGAAATGATAGTTTAAGATATTTCACTTTCAGGTGAATATACTGAAGTAAAACAAACCATGATCAGACAAGAGAGCAAGCTAGTAACATGCTTTTCATAAATGCCACACAGTTGCCTGCCTGGATCATAAACTGGGTGCTTTAATGATTCGCTCACACTCATATTGCCATACATCCAAATTAAGGTCAGTTAGGAGTACTTCCGTGTTTAATAGGCTTCCCTTTAACTAGATATTCCAGAGATAATGCTTTAACAGCTCACTATTTCATTACTTTGTTGGGGAGGCAGGCATAAACCAAGAAATTGGGGATGAGGCAGCTCTATATAGTCCTTTCCCACTCCAGAGTGGAATAGGGCTCTGTTCTTGACGTCTAATGCTCATTAGATAATGTAGAAGGGGAGACATTAAGGAATAAAAATAATAAAAAGTTTGCAGGCTGCGATTTAAAGATAGAGGTGCCTAATCCAAAGTTTCTACTTAATTTCAGAAATTTTATTTCTTGTCAACCAGCACGGCCACTGTGTCAATACAAACATTTCTATTAGATACAGGCCTATCCTTTCACTTCAACATTAGCACCATCACAGTTATACCAATATTTTGCTCAGCTACAGAAAAGTTAAACCAGTAAAAGAACATTTTTAGAAGCTTAATATTATCCACACTTGAACTATATTGCTGTAAATAAATCTGCACCAGTTTTGGGTTTAGACAGATATCCCACAGCATTGCTACTGTGTCATTGTGTAGCCCAAGGAAGGAAAAGGGCTCATCTTCAGTGCAACGTTTATATCAAGTTACTCCACTCAGACTAACCTTGAGAGTACATGGTAAGAAACATTATTTCAGCTACACAGAGTGATTCCATTATGAACACAGAGTGATTAGATTAGCAGCAGATGACTTGGAAGACAAGCTGCTTCATCCCCATCGAATTACCAGCAACACGAGCAGCAGCACTCCCCCCTCCACCCAACCCTCCCCACAGGCCAGGCAGGTCAGGCTTTAAGCATCTCTTTAAGATCCTTTAGACACCAAGTAAACAAAAGGCAAAATTTAAATTTTGTCTCCTACTGTATCAAAGCCAATCTGCTATCATACAACATCAACAGTTTTTCTATCAGGATTAAAGTCATTATTCAAAGCAATTCATAGGCCACAACATTTCATAAATTAAACAGCTAGAAAAGCTGCCAACCAGCTTACCAGGAGGCCACGTGGTCCAGGAGACAGCAGCTTTGAGTGAGACCATTTTCTCAGATCTAGTTATCAGCAAGCAGAGTGGAATAAAGAAAAAACAAAACAAGCACATTTTAAACAAGTGGACATAACCATGAAGACACAAGCATAAGATTGTATTCCAACGCAGCTGAACCAATGCAACCCAAAAAGCAACGTGTCTTCAATCAAAGCAAAGTTAAGTGACAAAGTCACTGCTCCTCAGCTGAGCCATATTAATCACCAACCTCACCCTGTTGCCACGTTCAGCTGATGAGTAGCAACTCATTAAACCAAAGGAACTTGCAGCCTTCTGCCCACCCCCCTGGTTTAATTTTTTTACTCAATTTTGCTTGAGTTCTGTGAATTTAGCTAACATACTGAAAACACTTTTAAATTAACACAAGACTCCTGCAGAAAGCTGTATAGACAATCCCTAAATCGATGTAGGCTCAGGAGAAAAAACTGAGGGCAATGATACCTGCTCATGCAAAAGGATTAGTGTGCGAAGTCTGTTTCCATAAAGAAGTTTTGGCTGTGTTCACATTGTTGATAATACTGTTCAAGGACATTTTGTAACAAACATGCTTGTTTTTTGAATTTTTATTTTTTTTTAAATAAAACAAGCTACAGAAAAAGTCCATCTTTATCAGCACCACCTGGAGCATAACCTCTACTTCTCCAGAGCAGTACCTGGCTGAGTTAACCCATAGTATGCTCATTCTGCTGAGCCTACCTACTACTCCCATCTGATCCTAATTAACTACCAGCTGGGAGCACTTTCCTGCACTGCCCAGGAAACCTTTACAGGAGTCACCAGACCTCCTCCCCACTCTTTCATCCCCCAAGAAGCAAAAAAACACATATTGCAAAAATATTTTAAATAAATAAGCCCTTCTTCTCAGAGGCCTTATTATCACAAAATTAAACAAAACTGATGATTTCTATCCAAAGTATGCAAGGCTGTGACCTTCTGGAATTTATCTGGGGCATTTATCATTCATTTTGAAATTCAGTGTATTGTACTTCATGTTATTTACCCAAGAAACACAGCCGGAGTGTGAGATATGTGGGAATCACCTGTTTTGTTCAACCCACCACAGTGTATTTCAGTTTGTATAGAGGTTTTGTGATCTCTCCCTTTTCTCCTCTGAAATCTTTTATCACAATATAGCTGAGAAGATGTATTAATCCACAGGTATTAAAAAAAAAAAAATTCCATGTTTGAGTCAAAATGTGAACAAAAAAAAAAAGGAAAAATAGATATCTGTAATCTTTCTATTGGTGTTTTAAGGCATAACAAACTACAGCAATTTATTTCACCATATCCAGTTGTAATGCTAAACCACAGATAAACATTACTAATGTAGCAAGAATGTGTTTCTTCCTTCTGAAGGAGGTCCAAGATTGCCCTCTTGAGTATGCCAAACAGCATGGGGTACTTCATTTACCATGTGATTGGCACACACTTTAGTTTTGAATCAGTTTAGAGATGAAATTGTTGGCTAAAGCTGTGGAAATTCTGACTCTAGAGTTGTCAGGCGGGCTGTCTTTACTTTGAGAAAAAAATAATTCTTTTTAATAACACTATGTTACTTGGCTTTTAATCTGTTTTTACATTGTTCATTAATGTTTTGCATTTCTACATATTGTGCAGCACCCCAAGAACTTTAGTAGGGGGAATTTCATAAAAAAACTCCAAGTTTATTATTTCAGCGTGTGCTAATAAAATAGCTACACGTTTGGGGAAATATTCTAATACACTCTATTTTGATGGCACACAAAAGGTCAGCCATTGCATGCTGGTACAAATAAGACATATCTGTTCACTGAAGGGCAGAAATAATTTCTTAACATAGCTCATTTTTAAGGCATCTCTTACAGTGCAGGGAATTCTAAGGGTTGAGGTTTTATTTTTCCATTTATTTTGTAAACTAAAGATATTATCCCATAAACTTATGCTTGATTTTTTTTTAGTCAACATTACTTTGCATAGCAACAAGCTTATTTCTAGTATATTTTAACACAGACAGTTTAGCTTATTATTTTATTGATATTAGTGGAAATGATCCAGAAGAGAAAATCATATTATTTGGAGGTCTAACTCTAATGCCTTCCATATCCTAAAGCCAGTAAGTATTCGGGGAGTGGAGTGCTCAGAGGATTGGTTCTGAATTCACTCCCTTAGGAACATGTAACTATAAAATCACGAGTTCTTCTCAGATCCAGCCCACCTCAAACTCAAACTTTCATGCAGCCTTCCACTTTCAGCTTGAGCTTTTTCACCCTTACTGCCATGAATGATGCATACATGCGTACACTCGCATTTTGTGAGTGCACACGCAGGCATGTAAACATTGTTCATTACGTTCTTTCTTTCTTTACTTACACAGCTGCTGTGTTATAATCAAACATTACAGTTATTTTGCACAGCAATCAAATGCACAGCTTCTTTTTCAACCAGTTTATCTAACTGCTAAGTAACCTCCCTTCATAGCCATGAAACCTTTCAGGAAAGTTGATCTCTTACCTGAGCAGGCAGTTTTGGCTCCCTGTTGTGGGAAACCCTCAAGGATCCGGTTCCATTACATCCTTCTGTCACCACAGATGCTGTCAGCTGCTTGAGGTACAGCCATACCACTGATTGTGAGGTTGAAGGAGCTTTTGTAGCAAGATGAGGGCCAACCAGTATCAAATAACACAAGTACAATCACTATGTCTGTTCTCCTAACAGAGGTATTTCTGAAAATATGTACGATCATGCTTTTCCTGATAATTCTCCTCTTCATTAAAATTTTTATAGTAGTGTATGTCTTCATAGTAACATACGATGGTTGATTTCAATGAACTCTCAACTGTACTACCACATTCACTTTACACAAATGTTTATTTCCTCATCCATTTGAATAAGAAGGAGTTCAGATCTTAACAAAAGACTCTAATGATGATAAATCAGTGCCACAAAGGTGTTTTTATAAGTAAGATGACTTGTTTGGCTGCAGGTTTTTTCATTCTCAGGAATGGGTTTGTCAGTGCAACGTTTTTGTGAGTGGTGTTTTGGATACCGCCTACAAAATGGGCTCTCAGTACTTAGATCTTTCACAAATGATGTCTGATAAATGGTAAAACCATCCTCACTGCTAGGAATGGATCCATGAGCCCACAGGTAGAAGTTCTGTGAGTTCTGTTGCCGTCTCTCTGGTTCCACCTTCCTCCGACCCATGCCCTAGAAAAAGAATTGTAAAAAAAAAAAAAAAATAATGTAAACATACGACTTACAATCACGCTTTCACAGACAAAGCTTGTAACAGTTGCTACCCCACTGGGAAGTTAACAAAGCTGTTACCACACTGATTTGAAGATCTCATGGTTGATCTTTAGCAAGCTTAAAATAATAGTCAGACTTGTCTATATGAACATTTCTGGTTGCATATATAATGGAAAAGCTGTTGACCTTCCACCTTTTAGTACTAATAAACTACTTATACTTTGCATTTCTGTAGCATACTATATACTCAAGGCTATTTAGCTATACCCAGCTAAATTAATCTTCAGACTAACCCAAAGAAATAGGTTAATAATTTTACGTCCGTACTGCAATAAAGAAACTGAAACAGACCATGAAATCTGAATCTTCAGTTATCCCTCGTGTGTCCAAACACAGAGAGATGGAGCCTGATTTTCACACTCCATAGCTTGCAGGAAATTTATTTGGAATTATGGCTGATCAGTATCTCTAAAACTATGAGACACTGCACAAAGTGCACACAAATGGAGGTTACTTGGTGAATAATGAATACCAAAATATCTAAGTCTAAGAGAGCCTAAAGTCAGACAAACTTTCAATGTCACAATTCACTGCTTTCTCTACTCATTATCTTGTGAATGGCACTGTTTCTTTTGCTGCCTAGAAAGATGTCAACGATCTAAGAAAAGTAGAAAAAGATGAAACAGTTGCACATACAGAAAAGCCCAAAACAATTTAAATTCCATTCAAAGTTGTGGCTTTTGCAACATACATTTAAACAGGTATAATATAAAGAGATATAGATTTGAAAATAATACTTTCTTGAGATACATTGGGAGTGTCCTATAGATTTTGGTTAGATTTATGATAAAGCTGAATCTGAACCAACTATGTGGGACTGTGAATTATGAGTGGCTGAGACCCCTACAAAAGCTCATCACAAAGCCAATCACTTTTAGCAGACTAACAGGACATGTAACCGGGTACAAAACCATGTTAAGACATAAAAAACAGGACCACTAGAAAATGCCTGTCAGAGATCCAAATCACGGGGTTTTTGTTCCCCTTGAATTCTGCCACCCTCAATGACCATGTGTGCTGCTGTATACCATGTGTGCTGCTGTGTCAGCCCCAGACGAGTCCCATCCCTATACTAATAAAAAGTGTGGGGTTTTTTGTTTACATTTTTCTCTTCTCACAATTTTTAGTATCTAGAATTTTTGCAGGGGAGAGAAAAGAAACTGTGTTTAAACTCTGGCAGACTGAAAGATATGAACTTGCTTGATTTTCCTTAGTGCTGGGTACTTACAAAATCAAAATACTCTCCTACATTCTGTAGACAGTGTCTGTTGTCATGACAAGAAAATGGGAAAATGTTGTTCGCTGCTTTCTGAAAAAAAAAAAAAAGAAATTGTAGCAAAACAAAAAAAAGAATTTTCAAATACCTTGGAGTCTATTAGTCTTAGTTCTTATATTCTGACAGATGCTGAAATTACAGCAGTCTATGTTCTAACACAGAAGTCATATTCCTATGTTGAATCTTCAACTGCATGTAATTTTATAGCAGTAATGTGGACCCTCTGTACTTAATTTTATTTTTCTTTTACAAAATTGGCAGGAGGATTTGCACTCCCTCGACTTGCTGAATATATACATGATTAATATAAAAGTGTGAATTTTCAAATAAGAAATGATACATTCTGTCTGCAAGCAGCAAAATATTAGATATATGTCAAGATGCCTTGTTTGATTCACTAGTAAGCCTAAAGCTAATTAAAATGAACTACAAAAGGGACCTCAAAACTGAATTAATCTATGATTTATGTACTGAATGTCATGTACACTGCTTGTTGCAGGGGAAGTGGAGGAGGTATTAATTGCATAACTAATTTATAATCTCATTCTTTAACATAATGTTCATCCAATCTCTAAAATGAAATGAGTTTTAGAAGAAAAAAAAAAAGGAGAACTGCAGGATTATTTTGAATGTAATTTAACATATTTATTTTTTTTAAAGTTTGTTTACTACCTATCATTGCAATATTATTAAAATAGCTAAAAACTGAAACACTGAAAACACTTCTGGACTATTAGATAGCCTATGTTCTTCCCCAAGCATTATTTTCCTGCTTTGTATTGGCAACTTTAAGTTTTTTTCTGTAAATGCTCTAGCAATTTTTACTTTTAACTGCGTAAAATGCATTTTTCATCTTCCAACCGTGATATTCACCTCCAAATAGAACAGCAAGTTTTAATGTAACACAATTTTTTTAAAACTGTTTCAAGAGTAAGTGAATCTGAAACAGTTCTAATGATAAATATAACTGGAGGCCTGATCCAGCAAGCAAAATAACCAAATACAGAAGTTTCCTGCATGGAGTTAGCTGCATGATCATACCCTAGAGTACTTGGTATACCAGACAGTTTCTCTACCTTTTTTAGGTATGTGCCATACATTCACTTGTGTCCTCATACAGATTCAACCAGACTGTAGTTCAACGGATAAGTAAATTCAGCAGATACATTCTCATATATGTGTTTAAAAATAAGCACCTTCTAAGTCAGTATAATGTAAGACTTACTAAAATATCTTACTGCAATTACATGTCAATCTTAACATTTTAGAAATAGTGTTTATTACTAGTGCCTGTAAACTGCAGGAGAATTGAAAACCACCAAGACGATAAATACAGAATATCATCCCTTGGAAAGATTCCCCATATAAACTAATGCTTAAAAAAAATCTATCACAGAATAATTATAGGATTATCATGAAGTAAGAAATAAGGTAATAAAAGCTTAAACAGTACTATATTTCTGAGAAAATTAATTAATCTCACAGCCAGTGAGTTCCCTCATACAAAGAGATTAGAGACATCCAGCTTCACAGGCAGTGAGCTTCCAACACTTTATCAGCACTTTTTAAAAATGTCACATAAACAAACTTCCTCAGATTGTTCCTGTGACATTGTATTTTAGCCTTTAATGCATCTTTGTACTTTCACCGCTGATCTCATTGTAATTCTTGATTTATGACAGGTAGGAAATCCACTAATTCTTTTTAACAGTGAAGGGCTGGTAAATACAAGACATAAACCATCAGGTGAACAGTCATTCTAGTGTTGATAAAAGGACCATCAGCCTGGTTCTCCTTTTCAGACAGTGGCTAAGGCCAGATGCTCTGCAGAAATGTATACGTAATATCAACATAATGTATACTCAAGTTACAGTATAACCTTCTTTTCTTTCCACTAGCCTCAAGCTTCCCTCTTAAATATTCCTTCCTAGCCTGTTTCTGCACTTCATTATAGCAAAATCTGTGAAATGAACTCAATATAATTGCTATCCTTATAGAAAATGAAAATAGAAAATGTTCTGTGCACAAAATGGGTGGGTAAAGCAAAGCTCAGTGTGATAATAAAATAAGGACATAAAAACGTGCTTATAAAATTGTAAAATTTTAAATACTTGTGATTTTAAAATACTGTATTTTGTTTGTTTCCAAAATTGTCCCAAATCTCCCCATTTTCAATCAAGCCTTAAAATCAAATGGGAAGCTTCTCACTGTTTAATGACCAAAAAATAATCCTTTGCCTGAATATATAGAATTTCTGACATTCAATTCAAAACAGAAAATCAAATTTCAATTAAATGTTCTTATAGGGCTTTACACACAGGTTTTGAACTGAAATCGATCATAACATAATCTGACACATAAACGTGTCTCAAACTGCTAGTAAAAGGAAAAGTAACTGATGCTGGAAATCAGCAGTAACTACAGCAGGACTCTGAGTATCCAAAATTATAACTGAGTAACAGCAAAATATGTTTCTTCCTTAGCATAACTAGCCCTCATTCTACTCCCTGAGGCACAAAGTCTGCCAGTCCACTAGGACTGCTTTGCTACCTACCATGCTATTCTTACTTACAACTTAGCAAGTGATAACTTGCAAAAAGGAGCACTGTAAATTGACTGCATTGCCACAGTAACTCACCTGCTCCCGAGTTCTGTATGCTAGCGGCAATCTATCCTCAATATACTGAGCTGCTCCTGGGTTCTGGACCTGCTTTAGTGCATAGCCTGTAGTTGACTCAGGTTGACTCTGGCATACTTCAACATGAGCAAACTAGAAAATAATGAAAATTGTGAACCATAAAAAAAAAATGTTGACAACAACCAACCAAATAAATCTGTTCAGAAGTGTGGGCAAAATACTATTTTCCCATTTATTTTTTATTATTTGGATTGCAGCAGCACCTAGCGGCCTCTGGAAAAATCAGGAGCCTCCCTCACATAACTGAAACCCTACCATAAAGAGCCCACGATGTAGATCAGTAAAAGAGACAAAAATATTATTTCTTCAGGAACTTTCTGAAAATTGTTTGTATAGCAATAATCCATCTAGCAAAACCAGTTATGCGGTAACGTCTTTTTTTCCCCCCACGCTGCTCCCATTGTTGTACGAGTGCAGGTTTGAAAGCACAGAACTTTTGGGGAACAGCTCAGCCAAATGTGAGGCCCATGGGTTCAGAGACTGAAGAACAGTCTGTGCCAGGGGTGTGTGGCAGTGCCCTGGGATGCCCTAACGTCCTAGGCCAGCGCCTCCAACGGGGTCTGTGCCACTTCTCTTCAGGGTGAGAACCGAGGCAAAGCAGGAGATATTTGTAACCAGAAGATAAAGAAAATCAGCTAGGGCTAAATGTGAAATAGGAGACCTCCAGCACTGTTAGAAAACTGGAAAAAAAAAAATCCTGCAATTTGCTTTAGCACACTTCCACTGAATACCTACAGCACTTCATCCGCATAAACATCAGAAACAGGAAACCTCGTTTCTGGCTAAAGGACAAAATCACCCTCAGCTCAGTGTTCTTTCCAGAGTTTAAGGATAAAAAAGCCCCACGGGGGACATAGGGGCTCCTGCCCAGCCCTCACCCAGGCGCCGACATGCTGCTCGCTGGGGTGGGACCACCTGCCCTTGGGCATGGCCACTGTCCCCGGCTGCTCTGCCCGGTCCCCCCGGTTGCCACGGCAGGCGCTTGTCCCGCTCACAGAGCGGGGTGCCGGGGTGGGGGGAACCCCCACCGTGACTTCAGACCCTCCCTGACTGCGTCACTGAGTGATTCTGGTGTTTCAGTAAGAGCCAGATGAGCAAAGGCAACGCTGCATTTACCCGTCAGCTGCTGAAGAGGGGAAAAAAAAAAAAAAAAATCCAAAAGTTGGTAAAAGTATTGAATGCTGTCTTAAAATGGGAGAGAAATGGGAGTTCAGTTTAAAAATTAATTAGTTCCGCGCAATTACTTCAATGGCACTTTACAATCTGAATGGTAGTATCTGAAGAAAGAAGGGTCATTTTTGAGGAAAACTGCAGGGACGTTAGGTAAATTATTTTTAAGATGTAACTTCATGATGTTTTTAAAATTGCTTTACACATACATGTGTTTTAGTTGCATACACAAACAATATTTGTTTAAAAAAGCACCTGACAGTACCTTGCCGTCGAATTTGAGCACTGGCTTGTAAATATCCATACTATTTAACTGTCAGGATGCTCTGCCAGCAAGCACTGCCCAGGCAGGGCTTCAGGGAGACACACAGGGGATTGTCCCCCGCAGGGAATTTGGGGGGGGGGGGCTGGAGCACGGTTGCCATCTGCACCGTGTCACTTGCCGGCTGGCCAGGGAAGTCCCCAGTCTGTTCATTCATATTACAGGCACAGTCCTTGAGATGGCTGTAGCTGAGTTTCTGTTTATGTATAATATTTTGTAACATGTTTTTAAGGATGGGGTAGTGGAGAGCCCACCAAAATACAAGGGTTATTTCACAGAAGGAAGAAGCCCTTGCTTACAGTGAAACAAGCCTGTGGGTGAGTTGTAGACAAGGCAGAGCTTCTCACTAAACCACGCACAAACCAAGACTTTGCCTCCTTGGCCCTGACAAACTTTAAAGAACATGACACTCTCATGGTAAGTGGCCTGCTTTACTGTACGTGGATATTCAAGACTAACTTATGTGGGAATCAGATACTACAGCTGGCAAATGGAACAAGAAAACACACGGTACTTGTATTAGATAAGTATGAATGATTCTGACAGTCATAGCATTTCCAAAGTGCAATTACAAAGTTCCTGTAGGAAAATCTAGTTTTCTATCTTACTATAAGAGATAGGTAATGATATTTGGGAATACTAGCTGCCATCATGGAGTTTTTCATGGTTTTCTTCTAAATCACCTACTTCATTTCTCTAAGTATCTGTTGAACTGTTGATAATACAGATAAGAGCCACTACTTGGAACTTATTACTAACAACATCATGCTGCAAGTTACTTTTAAGTACAAAAGTAGGTGAGTAACTTTTATGATGACTTACAGAGGCTAATGTAAACTTTGTTTATGAAAAATAAGTTGTTCCAAATAATGCAATTTTGGTTAAGGAAAAAAAATAGCAATTGTAAACAAGCTGTAAGAACAACATGTTTTGGAACACTTTCGTGATTATATTGTCATCTCAGCATTGACTGTAATAAACTGTGCCAATGTCTGAATGTGCCAGGATCAGATCAGAAGGCTGTGGAGATAATTCATGCTATTTTTAAGACTGAATAAGCCAGTGGTAGAAAGCAGAGAAGGATGAAGGGCATGACAGACAGAGGAACCTGTAATTTGTTTTTATTTCACTCTACACATTTTCAGATTCAGTAACTTGGGGGCCATTATTGCAAACTCAAACAGCACTTTGGCTTTTAAAGTATTACTCCATTAGAGTCTCTTTTTTCCTGAAGGGCTGAAATAGTTTTGTATTTACTGCTGTTTTACAGTGTGAGATGGGTAAAGCTGAAAAACTGTAAGGATGAAACTTAACAGGTCCCTTCGTAACACCATAAAAGGATTCTAAACGAACATAAGGAATAAATAATTAAACTAAGGAAGAGTTGTACCAGTATGCAATGCAGTAAGCATAAGTCCAACGTAGTAAGAATTTGACAAAGACTGCTTTAAAACATTATCTTAAATAATTATATTTCCTAACTAGATTCTGTATGTGCATTTTCATACCAAAGTGTATTGTTGTACTTACAATATTATTGTTACTGCTAAGACATATGCTTTGTGTTAGTAAAAATATGCAAAATTGAGTCTTTTAGCTTGGTTCACAAAGGAAAGGAGGCTTATGCAACTGCACTTTCTGTCTCTGAGATCCCGTAACAGTTCTCAAATCTTCAGGCCATTTTTAATCAACTTTGGGAGAAAGAAAGAAAGGTGGAAGATGACTTAGGATCATCTAAGCTCCATGAGGATCAGTGGCCGGACAGATGTCAGTGAAGAAAGGGCAGGCCCTGGACCAGCCGTTCTCTCTCTATATATATACATATATAGGCTAGGAAGATGACAGGCAGTCAGCATTTGTGAAAAATCTTAAAAATCCTTTGGGCATTATTCAAGGCTCCATTTGCTTGCTTAGGCCATCACCACTAAGCCTTTGTCACATTCAGTGTGTAAGCAGAGGCAAGCACACTACAATTCTTGATCCCCACACCAAGCCTTCGCTGGTTCCACGAAGGCTACCGCTATTCAGCATGTCTGTAAAACCCATCCGTAAACCCTGCTGACACATCTCCTTACCTAACCTAACACAGCAACGCACTGGTTGTTTCTGGGCCGGCCCCAGAGGCTCGGCACCTCCCCACCACACAGAAACCTGAAGACAACACCACCTCACTGCCCTGGGACGGCACCGAGTGGCGTGGCCGGACCAGCTGCTAATGGTGCAGCCCCACCACAACCACCGGCTTCGGTTCAGAACTCCCGGGGCCGGGAAGCCACTCAGGAAAAAAAAACAAAACAAAACAAAACAAAAAAAATCAAACAAGCAGCTAAACCAGGCGAGAATCAGCCCCACTGCCCGGCACCCGCCATTCCCGCCCTTCCCCTCACGCCTCAGACGGGCCCCACCCCCCGCTCGAGCCCCACCCTCCACCCCCTCCTATTGGCCAGAGCCCGCTTTCCCCGCCCCCAGCGCCTTCTCGGGAAATCGCGCGAGAGGTGGGTGTTCCTGCAGTGACACCCCCCCGCCCCGCGCCGCCCGGCCGGCAGCGGGCGCTGACCTCGGCCTGCACCCCCCCCTCGCCCCCCCCTCACCCACGGGCACCGGGAAACACGCGTGGAAAATGGAGGAGCTCTGCGGTGTGGGGGCCTCCGCCCCTCTGCGGGGGGACGCGGAGGAGCCCAAGCAGGTAACGGCGCGGGGAGCGGAGGGGAGGGGGGAGGGACGCGACGCTTCCCGCGGCTGAGGGTCCCCGCAGCCCCCCCCCCACCACGGACACAGCCTGTCCCGCGTGGGGCGGCCGGACTGGGGCGCGGGAGGGCGGCGGGCCCTGTAAACGCAGCCCCCAGGAATGTTTTACGTTGCCCCATAGGCGGGCATCCTTCTTCCAGTCCGGCCGGTAAGGGAGTGCCATTGTCAGGGCTGGAGCGCAGTAGGGAACGTACTAATTATGATTAAGCTTTAATTGTAAGCGCACCGTTTCCGTTGTTAACGCGTAAGTGCAGTGTGCTGCGTTGTATTTACATAAATAGTATCCTGTGGATCTGTTTTTTCCTTCGCATATATCGGTTCAGAGCTCTTAACGCAAGTGTGGCAGCTGCGCTTGGGTTTTTCTGTGTTTGAAAAGAAATAGTCACAAGGCTGAATTATTAAGGCAGAAACTTGTTTGGCTTTAATGTGAGTGTTAGTGAGCACTTGCTTTTGTAGCGTTAGCGAGAATTATATTTTAGTTTTGGCCTTTCTGAGTAATTTCACATTCTGCGTGGAGCTGACCTTAATAGCGCTTTAGTCTTATAACTCATAAAGTGGAGCATGTGTTTGACGCAAGTGTTGGGAGTCAGGGGAACTCAAATATTCGTGAATACCTCCAGGAGAAAATTGTGACAGAATGCAGGACAGGGCTTCGGTCGCTTTCCATTAAAAATAGCTTATTGTAAAGCAAGTCTGATAGTTTTAATTGCTATTATTCCCTAAATGAAAGACTAATTTCCCTTTGAAAACTAGGGGTCGGTGTTGTTTCTTGGAGGCAATGAAGTGAAAAGCAGTGCTGTGGTGAAATACTCGTCTGCCCCACCGCAAGCAGCGTTTGCCCGTCTTCAGGAGAAAACGGACTTGAAACTTCCTCCTGCCAATTGGTTACGTGAGAGCGCTAAGCTGGGACCAGCAGGTACAACCATTCTTGGCAACAACAAAAAGAGCAAACCATTTTCAAGGTAAATAACAGCAGGCTCTATTTTTATCCAGGCCTTTAAGAATAATTTTAACAGTTATCTTGGACCCTGTGTAATTCAAAGTGCAAAGTACAGACTTTACCCCATAACAATTAGCTATCAGTTTTTCTTAACCATTCTCCCTCTGCTTTTTAATCCTTAGTTCTTGCTCGTACTATAATCTTTCCTTTTTTGTAAACCATTAATGATGCTATTAATGCTGTTGATTTTTTTTTACATGTGTGTTGACACCTTGCATGTTGATGGTCAAACTGACTTCATGTTCTTCTCTGATTGACTGTTGCCGGCTGGCCAAAATCCAAATTAGACTGGTTCAGCCAGCCATGCTGCTTTTGATAACAGATGGAAATTGAACAAAAGTGGCTCCCCTTGGAAGTTACAGAGACGATTTATAGCTCTTCTTGATCTTTAGAAACTGAACCTGTCTAACTAAGGGCAAAAGAAATTTCATAGTCACGTCAAGAGTGAACACAGAAGGTGAAACAAAGGGCAAAACCAGAAAGTAGTGTTACCTTTCAGTATGGATGCTTGTTAAATATTTGGATGAGTTGAGTTCAGAGTGTTAGTAAAGGGGAGGCTTAAATCCTGTGCTGAACAAGCAAATTCACACTAAGTCAACTAGTTAGTGAAATTTCAGTTTGTGGAGGGTCAGTGTTTAAATCCTCATGATTTGTTTTAGTTGTACATTTCTGAGCCGAGTAACATGCTT